TCCCTAAAGGGACATGGAGGGAAAAAAAAAGAACTTTTGCAAGATCCTGCAATAGTTTTGCAGGATCTCGCAAAAGTTTATTTTTTCCCTCCATGTCCCTTTAGGGGCCGTAGGATTGCATACTGACCTTGTCTCTCTTCATTCATGTAATGTTGTGTTTTGGGACTTCTCTAGAAATGAAGAACCTCTCCAAATCATCCTCCATGGTTGTAGCTGACAAATGGGCGTATTATCCTCCCATAGCAGTACACTTTGCACCTCCACTGTTGTGTGTCTGTTTTACTTCCGGTTCACTGACATGGCAAAACGTTTTGCGAGATCTTGCAAAAGTATTGCGGGATCTCGCAAAAGCTTACTTTTTGCGAGATCTCGCAAAAGTATTTTGGGATCTCGCAAAAGTTAATTTTTTCCTCCATGTCCCTTTAGGGGCTCCCTACAAACTTGATTAAATGGAAGTGAATGGAAATCCTATTAGGAAGAATGTAATAATCTGCAAACACTTTATCGGCATCCAAACCCTAAGACAACCTCATATTGTGATAAAGCTGGATATTTTACATGCCTAATTATAACCCAGGCGGGTTTTCAACTTCTCCAAAGCTGCATTGCTGATTTGTCTGCTGTAAGCGCTGCTCTTTACCATGTTTATAAAGTTCTGTAGCAAACCTTCCCTATACAGCTGGATTTATAATGATTGGGTGACTTCTGAATGTATTCAGTAAAGGTGGATTTTATTAAGGCTATAAAAGGGGAAATAGGACCGAATATAAATACACACCAAACTCTTAGATTAAGAATTTTATATGTGAAACCTTTTACAAATGATGTATCATAGCTCTATGCTCCGCATTTCTGTCACACAAAACCAAAATAAAACACATAGAGATTTTTGTTTGGAATATTATGCAATGTTAAATGTTTTTGCAAGACACTGCAGATGCTATTTATTACGTTTTATGGGCGTGTATCAATTCAGTGTTGGTGTTTTTTGCAGAAAATCTTGTTGAGAAAAGGCTTGAATCAATGCAGCCCCCAGTAGCCATGGAAGCAAACAGAGTTTTGTCAAACCCAACTGAGGATGTTCTTAGTGATGGTGAGAGGATGACCGCTGAGCTGAAAGATATAATTGTCCATTTCATGCAGAAGGTATGGGAAGTTTAAATGTGATGCATGCTTACTTTCAACAGCACCAAAGTAAAAAAAACCAAACATTTAACAAGGCTCTTATTTTCAGGTTGAAGAATTTAAATGTAATGTTACCAACATGGCTGTAAGCACAGCTGAGCAACAAATGGTACAGACTGTTTGAATACTTGGAAGCATTTTTTTTATATTTTGGTATGTTTTTATATTTTTATCTTGAAATAATCAAAGGCTGTCCTTTATCAGATGCTGAGGAGCATGATGGAGGCTCAGGATGAGCTTGAGAGGAAATACATCAGTAAGAAGGACGAGCACAGAGCTCTGGAGATGCAGAACTATATGGGTCTGTCTAGAAACACCGGCACCTTTGACCCCGACAGGTTTAGTAGATCTTATCGTTGCAGCTGATTGACATCGGTCAGATTAATGCCTGCGTGTTCTGAACATTTTCTACGCATTTGTTGTTTTGTGTGCAGACTAGTGGAGGGAGACATATTCAGGATAGGGATGCACCTTGAGGATATTAAAGAAGTCATTGACAGAAACACGTATAAACAGATTTCTCCACCCCACTCGTCCTCCACTCCCACATCCATCAGAGCCTCACCCCCCCCAAAGATCGATTCGCTTTGCTTTCACAAAAGGTCCCCATCACCTGCACCTTCCCTTTATGAGGTAAAAAAAAAAATCACTCACACATTGCTCTTTAAAATGCTTGATTTATTTATTGTTTTTTTGCAATCAGAACACCGGCTGCTGCATGCATGATAACGCTGATTTTCATAAATGATTTTAAACTGAATTTATTCAGATCAATACAGCTGCTGCACATTCTTCTGTATGCAAGACACACAGTGCCTAAAATAAGCCCCCCGTACCACTGACTATAACTCACAGCTATTTAAAAATCATTGTCAGGCGAATTCTATAAGAGGTTTCCCAGTACAGAATAGTACCTGCTCCATTTGCACCATATTAAAGTGGTAGAACAAGGCTACCATTTTGACGTCACATTTATAGGTCTTTTTCTTGGTTCTAATAGTTTTCTAATTAATTTGCTTCCACTTAAACACCTGCAGAAAACACATCACAAAAAAGTTGTTTTTCTGCTTTGCCAAATTTATATTTTGCTCTGAAAATTGTAAAATTGAAGATATGTTGTTTAAGCTGAGAACGATGTCTATCATTACATGCAGAGTTGGGTAGAGTACCTTAAAACACATTACTTAAGTAAGAGTAACGCTACCTGATCATATTTTTACTCAAGTTAAAGAAATATGACTCAAGAGAGTTAAAGACTATTTGGTAAAAAGGCTATGTAATCACTCATGAACTGAACTACATGAGAAAAACAATTAATTTAATATTTAAAAAAATTATATAAAGTTACAGAAAATTTTTAAGAAAAATATTCTAAGTTAAGTATATGCAAATTCAAATATTTCTTAAAATTAGATAAGCAAATAATTATAATAATTACACAATAACATTTTATAGAAGGAACCCTTCAAAATATGTTATTTGAGTTATAAGAATAACAAAATCAACATTTACAGTATGTGAGTTAGGGTGACAGTATGCTGTAAAAACATGATTTTCTTACATTACACTGTAACTTATAACAAAAAAAAATTAAGCTTTGAGTACAAAAAGCAGAAGGTGTGTATCAACAATTTTATTTTCATAAGGTGAAGTTAGACTGAATTTTTACTCAAGTAAAAGTAGTGATTCTTTAATATATATGTACAGTATAGTAAATATATATTTCTTCTAAAAGTACATTTTTCCTTCAAAAAATACATCATTTTCAAAAATTTACTCAAATAAATATTTATTTTGTCATAAATACATTACAGTAAGAGTTTTTGTTGTAAAGCTGTTCTCCTGTAGAAGATCTTTCTATAGTTATTGAATGCACCAGCTGGAATTAAAGGATCTAGAACCAGAAATCCTGCCACTTTCTGGTCAATTTCAGTAAGACAGGGATGTTTTGATTAGTTTTTGAAATAAAGTATGTAACTCGATTTCATATTGCAGGGAAAAGGTTTTTTGACTAGTTTTAAAGAGGAGGCACATAAAGGGGAAGATGAAGGAGAAGTCGATGACCTCAGTGAAGTCCAAGAACTGGGAACAATGGAACTTAAAAAGGAAATTGTGGACGAAACGTTGGACAATTCACAGTATGAACAACTCATCTTTTCCTCTGCTTATAATAGGAATGTATATTTTAAACTTAAACATGACTTACCAAGTTATTTCAGCATTTTTTTTTTGTGATCAAGTAAATGTTCTGGGTTTAAACCCAAACATTATGTATAGAATGTTTGAATATTTTATTCTATTTTATTAACCTAAAAGCTGTAGTTTAGCAAACATTCATTTATTATTTTTAAACAATTTTGTAAGAGTTATAGCTGTTTTTATTTTTATTATAAAATTCTTACTGTTGTGTTTTAGGTAGACAATTTTAAGATCTGTTCAGGGACAACAGATGAAAAATAGCCTTTCGGCTAATTCTGGTACATTTGCAGGAATGCTTTCCTGTCAAATTAATAAATAAATCTAAATCTAAAAAAGAAAGAGTAAAAAGAATGATTTTGATGCCCTTTGTGCTGCTTTAAGGTGCCTTTGTGCTGTAATAAAAGGCACGTTCCCTCCTGCAGATCGGGTTTCAGGTGCAGTGTTGGTTTCGGGTTCCTCTGCGGGGAGAGAACAAATAGTTTGGGTCTGTGTGTGACCAGGTTGTCTTCTCTGTCCTGTTTTAGCGAGCTGACAGGCTCAGAGGAGGGACTGCTCTCTCAGAC